TGGAAACAACTTTATGGAGACTGGTTCAGGTTTTCAGAATGTCTGTCTATATATAATTTAAAAATTTTAATTAAAAAAATCTAGACAGGGAAAAGTACCCTAGGATAGTAATAGGAATGCAGGAGAGTAAATTTCTGGCAAAGAGGAAAAGAGATTATTCATCAGGGGAGTAAAAATAAGACCCTTCATGATATTTGGATAGCAGTTGCTACTTAGTAAAGTAGATAGAGTACCTGCCAGAAAGTTTTCAAGTAAAATTATTTCATTGGTTATTTTAATTAAAAATATGACTACCAACCAAGGAATCAGAAGCTGTGGGCCATAAATGAAGTACTTAAAGTGCATTACACTGATTAATAAAAGGACTCTGATTAACCTTGTTGACTAGGGAATTTCTTACCAAAGAGATAAGTATAATATTCTGTTTGTATCATTAATGAGCCAAAACTCATACATCTGAAGGAGAATCAAAATGCATAGTTGGGAAAATCACTGGAAACAACTTTATGGAGACTGGTTCAGGTTTTCAGAATGTCTGTCACCAGTGGGAACCAAAAATACAAAAGGCCTCTAAGTTTTCTTAGAGATTTCTTCTGAGTTTACTTTCATTCTAAATACTGTCTGCTTGGCTCAGAAAAAAATAATAATAATAATAAACAAAAAACCCATATCATACATACTTTGACTATTCAGATACATTGCATTCAAGAGTTAAGAATTCACTCAAATATAGGTCGTTCCTGATTTAAAGTTGTCATCTGGTAAATGCTATTTTGCTTTCTTGCTTTTGAGACCCACATTTCTTCCATTTCCTGGGAGGCCTCTCGGATGCCAGCCAGCACATTTTTATTGTTTGCTTTGCAAAGTGTGAGAAGTGGCTTTTTTTTTAAATTAATAAAACATGATTTTACCTGAAGATGTGATTATGAAGCTTAAAATAACTTGAAAAAAAATAAAGTGAGATCTCTCTCATTTTAAGAATCACTATTATGGTACTGGAGTGTAGCTCAGCGGTAGAGCACTTGCCTAGCAGTGTGATTACACAACCCCCCCCCCCCAAAAAAAAAAAAAACAAAAAACAAAAAACAAAAAACATGATGCTGGTTTAAAAAAAAAATAAAATAACAAAAAACACAGACAGGGCTGGGGTTGTAGCACAGTGGTAGAACACTTGCCTAGCAAGAGACACTGGGTTCGATCCTCTGCACCACATAAAAATAAATAAATAAAATAAACGTATTGTGTTCATCTACAACAAAAAATATTAAAAAAAAAAAAAACACACACACACAGACACAGCACCAACAATTTAAATACTCATTCTGGAAACTGGATTCTAAATCTGTTTTCTAGTACACTAATAGGAGAAATTACTCAGTGAAAGAAGCCCAGGGCTAGAGGGAAAAGCAGAAATTAGTTTCTAGACTTCTTTGTAATCCAATAGCTTTATTCTATCTTCCTCACAAAATCCACATTTGTTCATGAGATCAACTTTTGACTACTCATGTACTGATAAGATTATATATTTGGAAGAATGATATTCAGATCCTAAATTAATTTCTTTGACAGCAAAGTTCTGAGTTGTCATTCCAAAAATTACACACTGATTTCATATTGGCTTATGGGTACTATATTTAGAAATAAAATTTAATAACTTTTAAAATCCTATAAAAATGCTATTGTATGTCCTAAAGGAAATAAAAAAAAAGATTAAGAATTTATTGTACTACTGTTAATCTTCTGCAGGACAATCAAATGTTGAATACAGAATTATATTATTAACTACATAAGAAAATGTAAAAGCATATCTGTTATAGACTTTACACATTCCTTACTAAGCCAAAAATAACTAAAAACTGAAGGTTTTCATCCTTTAAAAGAAAACAGTAGTGTTCTGTTTCCTCGTCTGAATACTAGTTACATAGGTTCGCCTATTTTGTGAAAACTAATCAAGTTGCCCATTTATAACTCTTCTGCATAGAGCTTTTCAAATGCACTTTTAAAAGTCAAAGAGTAACGTGTAACAGTTCAAGAGGGCAACGTCTAGAAGTTCTGCTTTTATTTAATAAAGTCTCAAAAACTTTAATCCAGCCACAATCCTTCAAGGCCACACATAAATGGGTCCTATTCTTTTAGAACTATTGGGAAAAGAACTCAATAACTCACTAACCAGTTGTAGACCACTTGGCTCCACACTGTTCTCAGAGAATTCCTTTGTGAATGAAGAAATTAACAGAACCACTTAGATATACTTTGTTTGGCAAGCAGCTAAGATTCTATTTATCATTTCCATGCTTAATCTTAATATTAAAGGATTGATTATTAGGCTGGAAGGATGTAGGGAAAAAATTGAAGTAACTTTGAAGAAAGATGAGGTTTTTGCCTGGATTGAAGACTGAAGAGAAAATCGTATACCCACACTCATGTTAAACAGAGAGGAAACATATTTGTGCGCTCTCTTGTGTGCACACATGCACATACCAAGGATTTCCTGCATAAATCCTGAAGATAAGACCACAAGTCCTATTATTTCTGTGTAGACACCCACCTGTTATACATAAGACTGGAACTGTTTCTTTCCTCTCCCAGACGGTGTAAATTGGTGTTTCCTAATTGAAAGCCACATCCCACAGTCCTAACACTTAGAAAACACCCATTAGTGTGAATGAAAATTTAGCTCTATGAGGACCATAGGAGTCTGCTCATATTGACAAGAAGAATTTAAAATGCATTTTCTTCTCATTCAGAGGTGATGACACCATTAGAAGCAGCATAAAAAACACCCTGCTTCCCGAGAGCCAGCATCTCAAAGTTCCTTTCTCATAACTCCAGAACCTTTTCGTGGTCTGGGTAATTTGGCTGCTCAGGAAATGAGAAAAGGCAGTCTTTGTGACTCAGGGTCAAATAAATTACCCACCAGCTTGAACCTGAGTTATTTTACATTGAGTGCAAATATAAGTTTTAAAAATACCTTTAAAATATACTGAGCATTCAGATAGTCTTTCATTGAACAAAGTCAAAAGATGAAAGCAATCACCTTATGATGATTATATTATATTATGATTCTAGCACATAATTTTTTTCTTTTTAACAGAGTCTGTATCAATATTTAAAGAAAAAAAAAATAGACCCTCTCCTTTATCTTTCAATCAAAATAGAAATGCCAATTCATTACAAATCCTGGAAGTACAAATCACAAACCCAGTAACTGGCCTCAACTATTCAGTACTTTCTTTAGAACTGAAAAGAAGATATGAGTGAATTAGCATAGAAATATGTATCATTAGCTATTGTATCTGAAAATTGATGGAACAGATGATTAATATATAAGCACAAAACATATTTAAACTTTAACAATAAGTACTCTCTTTCTAAATGCTATACACAAGACTTCATCATCTATTTTATTTAAATAGAAGTGATGTTGAGCAGGGTATTTATTTGCAATCCACTCAGGAGAGGGCCCAACTACTCAAGTTCCCCCCACCCCTTTAATTAGTTTATTTGGAAAATCAGAATCAGTATGCTAATTTATTTCCAGTTTATTAAACATGTATTCCTGAAAATACTGAGATTTAAAAAAAAAAGAAAAAGAAAAAACTCTTTCCTAATTTATTTTTTCCTTAGCTCTGTATTAGGTAGGTCTTCTGCATTAAGCATTTGTAGTCTAAGAAAAAAAAAGTTAAGTTTTTGGTTTCTCTGAGTTCCACTTTTGTGTCTGAACGGAAACTCTTAAAAATGATGAAGACCATCAAGGTGACTGTGGCACAGCTTTATCCATTTATTAAACCTCCAAATTGGGGAGAAAATCCCCTTTTTCATCCACATGAACACAGAGATAATACATCCCTAAGTGGCTGTTAACAGAGAATTAACAGCCTGTTCCCAAGCCAGCCACATTGTCTAGATTATATCTCAATAGTTTGCTTAACCATAATCCAAGATGTTTTCTCTATTCTGGGTCATCACAAAAAAAAAAAAAAAAAAAAAAAGAAAAGAAAAGTTTGAAACACACAGTGTGTCACTAAATGTGATTGTCCAGGATTTCAAAATCTAGGCAAAGGTATAGAGAAAGAAGAAATACAGATATAAGATACAGACACAGACACAGACACACACACACACAGATAATACACACATATGCACATATATCCATACATTTATACATACATACATATACAGGTGTGTGTGTATATATATATATATATATATATATATATATATATATATATATATGCATTCTAGTTTAAAAAGAAAATACTTTTTAAATAAACACAAAGAAAAATAAGAGCTACTTTTTTGGAGTAGGTCACTGAAGCTGTGCCTTTTTAAAAAATTTCTTTTTCTATCAATTTTACAATTATACCTGTATTTTTACCTTGTTTATAAGATGCCAAAACCATGTTCTCATCTTCAACTTCAAACACTGTGTCCACATCTATTTCCCTTTGGATTAAAATAGACTTCAATTTTCCGTAGTCATTTGACTTTAGCGCCTCAAGGAAATTTCTCTTAATTAACCTGGCAGTTCCAGATTTACTGAGAGGGACATTGTTGTTATCCATCCTCCTCTCTCTCTGGAAGCTCTGTTGTGATTTATCAGGAGAACAGCACTAAGCGAACAGGCACATGCTGGAGAGTCCACAAACTGTCGGCTAATTTTATCCCAAAGTTATGCTGATCCGTTCTATTTATATAGGGATCATTTCAAACTTCAAAATATCCTTCTTGGCTGTCAGTGCATTTTCAGGTCCTTTAAACTGGTTATATATTAGCAGGTCCATTCAGTAATATATAGTGCTGATATGAGGGAAAGCTCCCGCAACACATTTCCGAGCATGAAATGTCACTCTTATTTCTTATATGATCAAAGTAATAATGTAAGATTTAAAAGCTCTTAATGCTCTTTTTTTTTTTTTTTCTTCTCCACTCAGTAAAAACATCTGGTGCCTGGCTGGAGACCCAGGGTCTTGCTCTGACTAACCAATAGCCAAAAAACGAAAATTTGTTTCAGTTCTGGAAACCTGTCTGTAGTCATTTTGTAATAGAAGTCTGTAAAAATCAAAAATGGTTATACACATTTGAAAACAAACAGAAGGTTCTCAAATGACCTAGACTTGAAAATTTTCAATATTATGAAACAGCAGGGTGGGCAGTTGGTGGGGGGTATTTTAAGTAAAAAAGAGCTAAAGAGGCAAAACAGCCAGATGCAACAAGTGAATGGACTTTATTGAACCCTGTGTTTTCTTCAAATCAATTAGGAAAGACTAGACAGAGACCATTTGGAAATACAAATATGGACTAGAGATTATTTGATAAAATGCAACTATTCAATTGTTGATTTTAAGGTATGATAAAGATATTACCATTATGTAGAAGAATATTATTTTTCTTAAGTCATGCATTAAGGACTAAGTTGTCATGATGTGGTGCTGTGGATCAAACCCAGTGCCTCACACACTACATGCTTTACCACTAAGCTACACTCCCAGCCCTTAAAACTTCTTTTATCATACTTCAGATAACACTCATGTAGATAAGTAGATAAGAATACATGTGTGTGTGTGTGTGTGTGTGTGTGTGTTTGTAGACCAAGAGAAAATGTACATGTGGCAAAAAGTTAAAAATTGGCAAATCTAATGAAAGATATACAGTTGTCTGTTACATCATTCTTTCAGTTTTTTCTGGATGTTTGAAATTTTTCAAAATAAAAAGTTGAGGAGAAAAATGTACTTTTTAAATTTATTAATATTAGAAAAGTGATGATAACAAACACTAGCTGGAATGCAAATAAAAATACATTTTTATATATTGTTGCTAGGAATCAAACCGCTAGGGACTTTCTATGATATGATTAGCAATGTGAATTTCTAACAATTTATAATGATACTATTATTTGAATATTAGAATTTATTTAAGTATGTAAATATAGATGCAAACCATAATACAATTTTTGACTTCTTATATTGATGTGTAACAGAAATACAGGAAAAGGACAAGTCATGAGTATATGGCTTATCAAATTTTCACAAAGTGAACGTGCCTGTGTAACCCAACAGCCATATAGACTGGTCTAGCCACACTGACAACTTGTGGCAAAAGTCTTTTCTACTGAATACTGATGGTTAGATATTAGTATATTAAATATTACCTATGTATATATCTCATATTCCTGGAAGCTATTTTAGAGGGAAAGTCAAAACTCTCAAAGAGTAGAATAGAATTCAATAGATGCATTCAAACTCATTTAAAGACTCCTGTACAGAGGTAAGATTTTAAAATGCTAATACTTAACCATCAGTATTATTAGAAGGGACTTTTGCCATAAGTTACCAGTATGAGCAGATGAGTGTATATCAGTATGAGCAGATGAGTGTATAGCAGATGAGGTAAAGGGGGTCTTCAGATGAACTCCTTGTCCTCTAAACTGCCCCTGGTCTGGGATAAGGGCTCATCATAAAATTAGTCCTACTTGGCTATATTCATATTTATGCCTCCCTAGACTTTCTCTAGCATATTTTTTTTTTTTCTGGAACCATCCCACCTCACCAAAGTTCAACTGGAAGAAGTGCATGAAAGGGGGGAGGTGAGAACATGACATCAAACCCCTGGATCAACCTATACTCCTCATAATCCATTAAGACTTCCAAATATCCTGGGCAGAAAGGTCCAGTTTTGAACTTTTTACTTTCTTTATAACTTTCTCTCCTTCTCTCTAGGTCAATAAGCCATAGGTCAAAAACAGTTTTCATCTTTGTACTGCAGAAGAAACTCCATGATTTGAGTCCTTCAGGCATGATCATTGATACACTAGAAAGGAAGTGCTTTAGAAAATCCTCCTTTTCATAATGCCTGATTTTCATAACTATTGTCTTTCTGAAAGTCCTGTTCCATAGCTGTAAAAATAAATAGAGCTAAATTTTGTGGGATAATTTGAGAAAACAAAGCCAATCGTGAAGAAATATATAAAATTAAGAAAGTTATCACTTTCTTATTCCACTAAAAAAATTCATTATTATTTATCATTCCACTAAAAAAATCAATTATTGACCAATTTATCAAAGCAGCAGAAAATAAAACTTAGAGATTATTTATAATTAAAAACAAATATCAGTGTAATTAAAAATTGCCTGACAACGTCATTCTAACATCTAGGAAATATCTTGACCAATGCTAATAAAACAGATTTGAGATTTGTCTTCATTCTCTAGATCACGCTTCAAGTCACCATCCCTCTAGGACTCAGGAGGCCACGTTACACAGTGGCCATGTTTCACACTGTCTAGTCAGACCTGTCAGAAAGTCTTGTCTCCTCAGCTTTAAAATGAAAACTCTCCATCCTGTAAAATGAGTTTTTTTTTTTTTTTTATTAGTGTTTCATGACATTCCCAGGACAGTGTCCTCTTCTCTTGAAATGGTATGAAGAAGCTTTCTGACAAGGTGTGATGTTGTGGCAAGTGGCCCACAAAACCCTACTGGACTCTCTGGGGACCTGTGGCTGAGGCAGGAGGCACAAAGGCCCAGCTGTTTGTTTTCCTGATGTCTCTGTACAACACAATTTGACCACTGGACTACCATCTCTGGAACAGGAATGGCTCCTTAGTTTATTGTTACACTGAATCATGAATTTGATGCTGCTAAGTGGCAATTACCAAATACAATCATAGGAAAGAAAAGAGAAGCCACAATAGATCTAAAATATATCTTCAGAAATCAAAATTTCTAAAAACTAAAAAAAAAGTAATTTCCCAGCCTATAATGGTATTTTCATATTTCATGATACATTTTGACAGCAGAATTTTAATGTATACAGATGTCAGTATTTTTCTTTTATTGTTTATGCCTCTTTGTAATTTTGTCTAGGAAGTTCTTTTTGTATAGGAAGTTCTAGGAGTTTACAAGACATTAAAGATTTGTGTCTACACTGTCTTTAAAAAAAAAAAAAGAAAGAAAAGAAAAGAAAAAAGAAATCAGAACTTCTATGAAAACAGAACCCCAGAGGCCTGCCTGACTTTCCCAGCACATGAATTAGAATGCTTGCACTATCAGCTCACAAACATGACATGGGTGATAAGATTATCTGACATCCCTTTCTTCCTGTTTTACTTAAATCTACCACATAGCATCTTACCTGACATGACAAACAGAGTGACCTGACCTGTCACTCTGTTTGTCATGGTTTCATATATTAGTGTGAATGTTTTGTATAAAGATGCTTTGGGTTGTAGGTAACTCCAACAACAGAAACTTTCTTAAAAAGAGTAAAGAAGTTTTATTGGTTCGCACAATGGAAAATTTCATTTGTACTATGGGTTTTAGCAGAGATCTGATGAAGAAATTTTTAGTATCAGCAGAATTGTGCAGGAGGTGGTATTATTAGTCACGTAATTATAGTTATTATGTAGTATACTGGTCAGGAAAACTAAGAACTAATGACTGTTAAGTGACTTCTATAGTCTACTGTGACTGCTATGGCAAATAAGTAGCAGATGTAAGACTCAAGCCTAGATGTTGAAAATTGAAACTAATGTTTCTATTGTTCAAATGACTTTTTAGACAGTTTCATTTAGGTTAATTATAAACATTTTTTAAATTCCCTGAGTAAACTAGGAAGAAATCTGCTTTTATTTATTCCTTTGATGAGTAAATATTTGGAAGCAATTTACTATATAGACCAGGTAATGTATTAGCTATCTTTGGCTGCAATAGCAAATAACCCCAAAATATATTGACTTAAAGTAACAATAATCATTTACAATCTCTCAAGACATAGTAGAAAGACTACTCTCTGCTCTGTGGTACTGAAGGCCCCAGTTGAAATACTCAAAGGCTGGGGTTAAAAGACCCCCTTTCAAACTGACTGAATCACTTGGCTAGCAAGTCTGTGCTGACAATTTGTTTTCTATCCATGTAGTCCTCTCCCCGGGGCTGACTGTCACCCCAACATGGCAGCAGGCTTCTTCTAGAATGAAAAAATTTCAGCAGAGCTAGTTGGAAGCTGTGATAACCTAACTGGTGAAATCACATGCCCCTATTTCCAGCCCATTCCACTGATCACACTGACTAGTCCTGATTCAATAACATGAGGGAGAATAAAATAAAGGAATGACTTCCAGGAAGAAAGAAACACAGGGGCCCATCTTAGCTGACACCAGTACTTTTTCTGAGCACTGTGGATAAATAAAGAAAATATGCAAAAATTACTACTTCTATCAAGTTTTGATTCTGGTGGAAGGACTGTGATGGAGCAAACAAACAACAACAACAACAACAAAAGTGAGATACAGTTTGTCAGATGCTACAAAGAAAAATAAACTGAGAAAGTTCTAGGGTCTCAGCAAGACCATAAGTCACCCTTTTACAGATCAGGAAAAGGTATGCTCATCTGAGCCAATAAGAAAAGCCTCCTTTGTTTCCAGGCAGGTCCTAGGAAGGTATAAGGGCCTAGAAAGCATTGCAATTTCAAACAAATGGTCAGAGAAATCCTCACTTCCCTTGAGCACAAACATTCAGGCAGTGTGAGAATGAACCATGCTTGGACATGAGCTGCAGGATATTTCCAATAAGAGGTGCAGCAGATCTGAAGGTCTCTAAGATCAGGAAAAAGAGAGAACACCAGGAAGCCATCTTCAATCAGGGGCCACCACCTATTTTCAGGTATTTTGAAAGTCAATAGAGTTTAGGAGTGGAACTGATGGATATCCATTGATTTCATTTCCACCACATATTAAACCCACATCCAACTCTCTCAACCAAAAGCTAAG